AGCCCTGCTGAAGACTGGAAAGCCACACGGTGAGCGCTGGGTCCTGGCCACTGCTGTGCCAACCTTTCCTGCACTCTGGGCTGGAGAAGAGAAATCCCACGGGATGAGGCATGGCAGGACCAGGAGGGTGAAATGGGTTTGTTACTGGTGATGAGCAGGGGCTAAGGAGCATCCCTGTGACCTGGCCAGCCCCGGCATCCTGGGTGTGCCCCAGGGTGGGTGACCCCAGTACAGGGTCTGGCCCCAGCCGGCCCCCCCAGCACTCTCCTTGCACTCGTGCCAGCAGGGAGAGAGTAGGATGTGATGCCAGTACCCAGTGCAGCCTCCACTATAGGGTGTTGGAGCCCGGGGCATCCCACTCAGCACCCAACGAGACAGTGGGGAACACAGTCCCCTCCTCAGGTTTCCTCTCTGTACCTCCCACCACAGCATAGCTGACTCTGGATGGGTGAACCACAGTGATCTGGGGTTTCCTGCAGGATTGGCACCAGCGTTTTCACCCGGATAAAATAACAGCGAGTGGGGAAATCCAGGATACCCAAGACCACAAGGAGATGGTGCTTCCCCCAGCCAGGCTCTGCCCGTGCTGATGTGCTGCATTTCCACAGCTCTCAGCCCACAGCTTCATGCTTTCCCAGGCAAGTTCAGCTCAGCATGAAGGCTGGGCACCAGGTGCAAAATAAAGGGTTTCTGTGGGGATGCAGGGCTTGGCTCTTTTTCTGCCTCAGACCCACGGGGTTTGTCTTGCTCCACAGCTACCCTCCCATGGGGAGGCTCTGTGCATCGACGAGGGTGGCAGGGTCCCTGGGGATGGGGGCTGCCCCGTGTCCCCTCCCTGGCAGTGTGCAATCGTGCTGCACCTGCAAACCCGCTGCTGTGCTGTGGGTAACTTGTCCCTCGGGATCCCCTCCAAAAGTCCCCTGGGGTGCAAGACAAACCGGGCTGTGACCAGGCAGCGGGATGAGGCACAGCACAGCCTCGGTGGGATGCCGTGGGCAGCATGTCCTGGGGCTGCAGGGCAGGCTCCAGGCAGAGCCTCCCCCACGCGAGCAGAGCAGAGGAAGTTTCTCGGGCGGCCGAATGCACGGGGCGGCTGCAAATGGCTTTTGCAGAGCCGGCAGCCTCCTGTTCCCAGCCCTGGCGGATGTGCTGCGGTGGCCAGCTGCCAACCACCCCAGGGGTGGGGAAAGCTCCCAAACAGCCTGTCCCAAGAGAGACCCCTCAGCGCGGCCGTGTCCCCTGAGCAATGCACACACGGAGTTCTCCAGCCAAGCCCCTGCGGCACTGCACGTGGCCAGGGAAAGGGAAGAGGGGAAGGACACGTCTGGCACTGGCAGGGTTTTTTTGGGCATCCCAGCCCGACCTCTCTGCTTTCTACCTCAGACGCTTTGCCAAAGTGGTCCTGACACAACTGGCTCCCTTGGGGGTTCAGCA